GCCGTCTCTATATATGTGGATCTGTCTCAACAACCCCAAGGACTGAACACAAACACACACGTATACAGATACTTATATATGTCGCTGTTGTCGGAAGGAAACCTCGTATCTCCAAAATGGTGACTTTACAGGAGAAGGAAAAAACACACTTTACTTTTAATGTAAGTCAATGGAACCAGAAGTCATTTTGGGTCGTTTCTTTTGGTCCATTCTTCATGAAATTTACAAACAATGCAAAGGGCAACAGGTATTTTCAAATTATGTCAAAAACTGAAAAACGTCAAAAATGGAGATTTTTCTTCCGACAACAGCGATATACTATGTCGTAGCATAATTATGCATGTCTCATTGGGCTGAGTAGCCAGTTGCCTCTTACTTTCAGTGTAGCTTTATTTGATTCATGTTATTTAAACAGGAAACTGTTTTTAATTCAAGAATTTTAAATACCATTTGGCCCATTAAAGAGTGAATAATGTTATTTTTATTCTAACTTTGGCTGAAAGAAAGTGCTGCAAAAGTTCATTTAGCAGAGTCTGAGCTTCAAGTTTTTTAAAAAAAAAAAGTCAAATTTTAGTAGTAAATATTGTCCATCGACCAATTTGACTGTAAAGAATTAGGAACTGGCCATACAAATTCAGTGCATCCCTAGTAATAATAATATGCCTTAGGCAGGGCTGGGCAATATGACAATATTTATGGCTATTGTGACAAATTATGGCACAATATGCCAAAATATATTCTTCTAAGTACATGGCAGATATCATGAGCATTTAAAAACACTTCTCAACTGCATGTTTGATCACAAGGAGAGCATAATTAGTCCTGTTTAATTGGATTTAGTGCAACTCAGCATGCAAAGCGTTAAATAGAACCACTGTACCCATAGTTATGGATAGTATTTTTTAATGTGGCACGACTTTCTTGGTTCACAATATGAATAAATTAATATTGTAGCATTTTGCATATTGTGAAAACATCCTGAAGTACTTTGACTACATTTTGTCACATCACTCATCTATACCCTACATATGGATTACCTATAGATCGTCACTGTCCAAAGAAAAACATGCATCTCCATTTTTGTCGATGTTTATTTTCCTGTCATTTGAATACGGCAGTTCCTGATGACTGGACCAATAGAAAACCCCCAAAATCAATTAGAATGAAATCTGTTATTAACTTACATTAACAGCTAAGAGTGTTTTTGCTCTCTACTGTAAAGATTTTGGAGATACTTGTTTTTCTTTGAACAGCAACAGTATGTAAGTATCTATACATAATAATATGTCCCATGTGTTTTATACATAACACCTGTACATTAATAATACATCCTATGAATAATTTCTAAAAAGTAATACGAATTTTCTACGTTTTTCCTACAAAATCAGTACCCTGTCCTAACAAAGCACAAAACAAACCCATAGACTGCCAGCACTAAGAGGTTCTGGGAGGCCAGCACAGGCGTGATGCTGAGTGTTTTACTGAAAAAAGCTGTATTTCCACCCTTTTTAACTAATCGCTTTAACAAAGAAAGCGAACTCCTATTCGATCCCAGTCCACACCTGTTTTATTCAGCCCAGCTAAACTGAGGCTTTACTTGTTTTCCATCTTTTGTGATCGCCTGCCTCAGCCTCCCTCCCTCGAGGTGTTTGTTAAAGTGTCAGGCAATGTGTGTGTGTGTGTGTGTGTGTGTGTGTGTGTGTGTGGCACTACTGTAACATAAACATTAGCGTTTGCTTGCGTGGTTAGAGACAGGAATCTGCTGGCGAGGCTGCATTTGGCGAGCCAAGCACAGGCACAGAACAAGTCAGCTGTGCTGGAACTAACCTTTATGGAAAGTTGTACTTATTGTACCTTTAAAAATTCATCACAGCCTGAAAGCTGAACTGAAACAAACTCAAGCAGCAAAAGAAAACACGTCGATCCGATGGGATCGCAAGTGGTGGCATAAAATAACCTGGCTGGTCGGCTGGGCTAGCAGACGCATCACGTCGGCCGGGGCAACAGCACGGGCAGTGATCTCTGACTAGTCTGTCTTCAGACTCAGAAACACTCACCCAGAAGAGCAGAGATGAGGGATGGGTTGGTCAGAAAGCTACGGAGAGGATTTCAGCACCGTCTCGCTGGAGGCTTTGGCATTTGGCAGCTACTGACCTGGAGCCATAGTCCTGAGGCCTTTAACAGGGAAGAAAGTGAGGTGCTGAATTTGATTAAAATGAGCAAATCTTTTCCACAGTTTGGGCAATAACTGTGTTGATGCAACTGAAATGATCAAGTAAAAGTCTGACCACGGACGTGTGCTCCGATAATTAGATCAAAGGTACACACACCCTTCCTAATAGGGTGAAGTCAGCTGAAAACCACTGCCAATAGAATGGGACATCATGCCTAATGCCAAGCGCTGGCTAGAGGGGTACAGAGCTCCCCAGCATTGTGCTGAGCTGCGTTCACTGCAGCAAATTGGGACAAATTCTCTGTTAATACCCTTAATTTGGGAAGAAACATTGGATGAGCAGATATATGCAAAGTTTCAGACATACAGTGTAAATGCTTAACTCTTAGAACCCGAGGCAAAACGGTAGCTAACGTCTAGCCTTCGTAACTCCAGAATGGTTTAAGCTACATACATGATCCACATATCAGATGACTCAGCAGACCCAGCCCAAACTAGCTAGTATGATGTCATCAAGCTGTGGCATCAGCATGAGTAAGTAATTCGACTCGGAAAATCAGCCAAAATCCCGATTTTATTGCTGTTTTTTGGCCTTCAAATTCCAACAAAGGGCTAAAACAGCAACATGATTCACAATCAGCTCACTCATCAGACTCTGTCGCACCATCCAGAGTGATTTCATCCACCTATGACCGTCCATCAGCCAGTAATCCAGCTCCAAAATCACCCACAACCCACTTGCTACTGTTATATTACATCTCTGCCTTTAGCCTTCATAGTATAAACAAAGGGTTAACAATAGTGACGTGATTCATACACTAGAACACTCAGAGGAACCTGCCATCACTAACCAGAGTGAGAGAAACCAGCTTACAACCCAGAAATACAGCACAAACACACAGCCAGATCACTGTAAGACCTGCTATTCACGCTCTGCTTTAGCCTTCATATGACAACAAAAGGGTCAGTACTACTAAAAAAAGTACATTTTTAATGCATGGTGCTTTTTCTGATACCCAACAGAGGCAGCAGCAATGAGAAATGATAAAACATATGCCTTGATTTACTAAAGGTTTTAGTTCATGCAAAACAGCACTGCCGATGCAAAACCAGCACCATCACCAGTGGCTGGTTATGGTAATCATTTTGCCCCAATGTGCCGTTAAACCTTTTCCAGTAAATGCCAACTGTCTGTAAGCACTGAGTCCTTTTACTGCAAATGCTGAAACCTTACACACACACACACACACACACACACACACACACACATATATACACACTGACAGCATATTACTGTCAATACTAAAATTTGGAGAAAACCACTGACTATTTCCAGGCTTAGGTAGAATACTGAGTACTAAATACACTGTTCTAAAAGTATTTAGTAATGTATTCCAGTACAATACATAAAAATAACATATTCAGAATACATTTAAAATGCATATTGATAAGGCACATGGGGAAAACTCTGCTATTTTTATTGAGTTCACACTGTTACTCTTGGCAGTAACTCCTCTGTTAATATGGTTTCATGAAAAATGTACTTTTAACTTAAAATTCTCAACAGTATTTTGTCTCCGATGGCCTGCGTCAGTCCACTGCCTCCACAAAAATACGCAAAATCTTGCAAATTGTACTATAAGCTGGGTACCTATGTGATTTTTAGTTAACAACATGTACGTAACTTGCCACAAAACACACCCACAAGTGCAGTGCAACACCAAAGCTAAGCTCATCACCCATGAAGTTCTTTCATCTCTCAAAGTGCTGAGAGTAATAACTGATCATCACACTGGTTTATCAGTCTACTCAGTCTTTAGCAGGAACGTCACATGCCGTGCGCTGATTTTAAAGTAGTGTATAAACAAGCACTGATGGTGTTTCTTATAAAGATGGCATATATTTTTTAAAATTTAGTGGTCAGGTATTCTAAAACTGCTCTCCTAAAAAATGTAGAAGTATCTGCAGTCTGAAAACTGCCTTTACAAAACACTTGTCTCACTGACACCAACACAACACATTGCTCAGCATTGCTATTTCAAACCTAAACCTTATCACCGCTCATCAGCTTTGACCATCCACAGCAAAATAACCTAATAATATCCTTCATGCTCAGTCTGGCATAAAGTTGAGGAAGGTCTGAATGCAGCAAAATCAGACCCCAACAGTGACTGGGCTCAACACTGACCAGGATGGACACCTCAAGTCTGCTTTCGACTGTTCTTGCATGCAGGGATTTAAAGTCACGGACTAGGATTTGGTGATTTTTGAGTATGTATCTCGTGCACACCTACTCACACCCTGCACTTCACACTCACTGCTCCCAACTTAAGTTACATAAGTAGCCTGAATGTTACTACTACGCATGAAATTCATAACAGCATGACTGAACATGAGCTCCTCCACATTTTAGCTTCTGCCAGCTTGACTTATTAAACTGAAAACCAGGCGATGATGCACTGAAATGAAGCCTCAGTCTCAACGCACCGGTTCAGTAACGCATCTCTGCTTTAACGTTCACCTCAACAGTGTTATTAACCTTCATGACACAAAGAGCGCCGCTTCTGAAGCCAGGTCAAATCGGGTTCACTGTAAGAATATCAGTTTGCGTTCGGAAAGTCGGCGTGGTGAGCGGCTGTGCGAGCGGCTGTTCGAGCGGTGTGCGGTCTTCTCAAATCAATTCGCCACGGACTGAACCAGAATTCAGTTTCAGCGCTGCGGAGAAACGATCGGGACTTTAACGAGGCAGGAAATAAAGAAATAAAGGCGTTAAGATGAGGGAAAAGATGCGAAACGTAGCGTTTAGCGTTTTCAACCCGCCACCTACCTGCTGTGTCCGTCACGCGCCCCAGCCGTTTATTTTCTGAAGGAGTAACGCGCGAGTCGTAGCGCGCGCGAGAGAGGGAGGGAGGGAGGGAGTGATCGAGAGAGAGAGGAGGGGGGGAGCGAAAGAGAGTGTGAGAGAGATAGAGAGAGGGAGGGAGAGATCGAGAGGGAGCGAAAGAGAAAGAGAGAGAGAGAGAGAGGGAGCGAAAGAGAGGGAGGGAGTAAGAGAGAGAGAGAGAGAGAGAGGGAGGAGGAGAGAGAGGGAGTGGAGGGAGAGAGGGAGTGAAAGAGAGGGAGGGAGTAAGAGAGAGAGGGAGGGAGGGAGTAGAGAGAGAGAGAGAGAGAGAGAGAGGGAGGGAGGGAGTAGAGAGAAAGGAAGAGGGAGTGGAGAGAGAGAGAAAGAGAGAGGGAACAAGAGAGATGGAGAGAGAGGGAGGGGAGAGAGAAAAAGAGCAAGAGAGAGGGAGGGAGAAAGAGAGAGAGGGAGAGAGAGAGATAGGGAGAGAGAGATGGAAAGAGGGAGGGAGCGAGGGACAGAGGGAGTGGAGAGAGAGAGGGAGGGAGAGAGATGGAAAGAGGGAGGGAGCGAGGGACAGAGGGAGTGGAGAGAGAGAGGGAGGGGAGAGAGAGAGAGATATGGTTATTATTTATGTTGGTTCTTTTTATCTTATTCTGTTTTCATTATTGTTTTCGTTGTTCACTTCTACTGTTGTGATGCTTTAGCAATACTGTACCTCAGAGTCATGCGAATAAAGCTATTCTGAACTGAACTGAGAGAGAGAGAGGGAAAGAGGGGGGAGCGAGAGAGAGAGTGAGAGGGAGTGGAGAGAGAGAGAGAGAAAGAAAGAGAGGGAGGGGAGAGAGAGAGAAAGAGAGAGAGAGGGAGGGGAGAGAGAGAGAAAGAAAGAGGGAGGGGAGAGAGAGAAGGAGAGAGAGAGGGAGGGGAGAGAGAGAGAAGGAGCGAGAGGGAGGAAGGGAGAAAGAGATGGGAAGAGAGAGAAAGGCGAGAGAGAGAGGTAGAGAGAGAGAAGTGGGAGAGGAGAAGAGAAGGGAGGGGCTGCAGGGGGGGTATGTGCTGGTATTAGTGTGCTTTGATTTTCAGTGGCTGCGTCCTAAATCACATACTTCTACTAAATAGCATGTAAACACAGTGGTGTGGTCTGGATTAGATGGGTATGGTGTGCTTTGTAAGGGATCCCCAGCTGAATGTATGTGCGCGTTAAAGAAAAGGTTCCAAAGCCAGTCTGAACATCTTGTCCAATATATACATAAACAGCTGTGTCCAGATGTCTGAGAGCACTGATGAAAACGTTTTCATTCAGCGAATCTTTGAATGTTTGTATGAATTTCAGAATTTATTAGTATTTGGTGGTTTGCCCCCCTGTAGCCTTAATGACAGCGTGAAGTCAAGCTGTCACTGACTCCTTATGTTGATGTAAAAGCCTCTGATGAAGTCTTTAAACAGCTCAGTGTCACTGCTGGACTGAGAATAGTCCACCAACCAAAAATATCCAGCCAACAGTGTCCTGTGGGCAGCGTCCTGTGACCACTGATGAAGGACTAGAGGATGACCAACACAAACTGTGCAGCAGCAGATGAGCTATCGTCTCTGACTTTACATCTACAAGGTGGACTGACAAATAAGGAGTGTCTAATAGAGTGGACAGTGAGTGGACAGTGTTTAAAAACTCCAGCAGCACTGCTGTGTCTGATCCACTCAGACCAGCACATCACACACTAACACACCACCACCACGTCAGTGTTACTGCAGTGCTGAGAATGATCCACCACCCAAATAGTACCTGCTCAGTGAGGGTCCATGGGGGTCCTGACCACTGAAGAACAGGGTAAAAGGGGCTAACAAAGTATGCAGAGAAACAGATGGACTACAGTCTGTAGAAGTACAAAGTATATATGGTAAGTGGAGTTAATAGAAAGGACAACGAGTGTAGAAGAAAGTGTTTTTAGTGAAGTCACCAGTTGGTGTGTATGAACACAAAAATAATCAGTTGCTTAATTTCAATTTTTTTTTTTCAAAATACAAACAGATATTCAGAAGCTAACAGGCTATAAGTGGCTTCTTTTCATCTGCCCTCATTCAGTACATGGAAATACGCTGCCACACTGGCAAAGCGTGCTGGTTTGCGTCGTTTTTAAGGAGGCTGCCAGTCTAATGACATCAATTCAGTGCACAGTATCATTAGCTTATATACAGCAGTATTCACATTTCTACTCTTTAACGACCTCGTGATTCAAAGGATCCAGTGATATTCGAGAGAAAAATGCTGGTGGGACAAAACGTATCATCAATTATCACAGGATGTGACAGGCGATTTTCGAAAACTCCATTCATTTTTCTCATAGAGAAATTCCTTTTAGACCCTGAGTTCCTTATATGGACATTAAAGCATGACACCGTCTACAGAATGACAACACGACTTCAGTGGTCTGTGGAACTGCTGCACGATTTAAGGTGGAACAGGAAAATGTGAATAGGAAGCCAACTTCAGCCTTGTTAACTGTCGGAGGTCTCTTCACCGCTGAAACGCCTTCGCCTGATCTAAGAACTTCTTTCTTAATCTTTACTCTTCAGATCTTCTCCTCTTTGGCTGTTTCTTGGCCATCTCTCCTTCTTGACAAAGCATTGAGTTCAGCATGTAGCCCCGCCTGTTCCCCCGTCCTGTGCATGAGCACGAATGCCCCCCCTGTTGGTGATTTGCTGGAACGGTGTTGTGTCGCTCAGTCCAAGCCATTTTGTTTGTTTCCCATTTACAGAGTCAGGGCTGTATACGAACCAGGGCCGAACGATTTGGGGAAAATATCTAATTGTGATTTTTTCGGACTTATATTGATTATTTTTTATAAATGAGATTCAGGCTTGGCCAAGAATATCCACCTTTTTTGGCTGGAACCCTGAATGGCCAAACTGCCAGTAAGTCGTGGTTGTGATGTCACAACACATGGAAGTTTGGTTGCCTCTGATTTGTTTATCTTATCACAGGCATTTCACAAGCTCTGTGTTATTAGGTTTAATTTCCCCTCTGAAAACCTAAGAGAATGTTTTTTGACAATTTACACACCTAAAACCTTGAAGAACCTTGGTTCTTCAAGGGTTCTTTAGTAAAGACAGTGGTTCTATATAGAACCATGAACTCTCTAAGATCCATTTGCATGCTTAGAGGTTTCTTTGCATGGTAAAATCAGTCTTCAGCTTGAGGTACATGTCTGCATAGGGTTCTATACAGCACCAAAAAGGTTCTTCAATTGTTACAAGCTTTGACACCAGAACAATAGCAGAACCCATTTTGGTGCTATATAGAACCATATACAACACATTTTCCATCAATCTGAAGAACGATTTCACCATCCAGAGAACACTTTAAGCATGCAAATGGATCTTAGAGTGTTCATGGTTCTATATAGAATGATTGTCTTTACTAAAGAACCAACCTTTTCAGAACCTTGAGGAACCACCTTTTTTAAGAGTGCAGGCTACAAAAAAATTGCAGCTCTTGCGATTTTAAAATTGCACTCTCTTAAATTGTGATTGTGATTTAAAAACGATTCATCTTTCAGCCTTAATACGAACACTGGATCCTTTTTCCCCACACAGAATAGACAGCCAGCGCACTGAGAGGAGACATTAGCTGAATTTGACACAAAGTGTATTGGATTGAAATTGCATACTGCACTTTTAAGCAGTGGACAGTAACGAAGTAAATGTAATTGATTACTGTACTTAAGTAGTTTTTTCGTGTATCTGTACTTTACTGAAGTTTTTCCATTTTGGGTGACTTTTTACTTTCACTCCACTACATTTCAGAGTCAAATATCTCACTTTTTACTCCACTACATTATGAGAAATCTGTCGCTCCTTTTGGTTTATGTGTGCATAAAAACATAAAATGTCAAAACGAAAGAAGCGCAAAGCGAGAACACCAATCAGGACACAGCGCGCTCTTTGTTTTGAGCTTGTTTTGACCTGTTGGTCATACCGACCCAGTGCAGCACACAGTTCAACATCAGTGCAGCAGTGTAAAATTTTGGGAGAGTCTATTCAACATAAATGATGAACTAACCTAACTTTGTGTAAACAGACCACAATAGTTTATGTTTATGAACAGAGACCTACAGATGCAGTTTAGTAAAGGAAACTCATTTGTGAATCTGAGTTTAAAGTCTTTATTAAACTTAAACTTGTAACTAAGTTGCAAATAAATCTTAAACTGAAACTTTGCTTGTTTGTAAAAAGTGATTTCAGAGCCACTCAGTTCTACCTGATGGAAACTGTTTACCTTCAGTGTTTTGTGCTGATGATAATTTTAATAGACATCAGCGTCACTAATTAATGACTCTATTAAAAGACTGGTTTACCAAGAGAGACACTGAAGTATTTTCACCTAAAATGAGTTAATGAGGCAAGTCTTGTTACAAAAATGATAATAGGACATTAAAGCCATAATTAACCTTTTAGTACTTTTACTTTCGATACTTAAGTACATTTGAAGGCAAATACTTTTGTACTTTTACTCAAGTGGAGGTCTAAAGGGAGGAACTTCTACTTTTACAGGAGTAATATTTTACCTTGGGTATCTCTACTTTAACTCAAGTACATGGTTTGTGTACCACTGCTTTTAAGTCCATGAACTTAAATATTGCATGCTTTGTTTTATGTTGGTACAATTTAGCAAGCTAGCATGCTTTTAGTCAGCTAGCTAGGCTAATGTTAACCATCTTTACCACTTGTTATTAACTAGTTGCATTTAAGGCTCTTTTAATATTAATATTTTTCAGTAAATGCAATGGTTCTTTTGCTGGCTCTGAAAAGTACTATTGGTGGTTTTACAGTAAAGCTGATGATACTGTATGTTTTGATGTGTTATTACAGTATTGTTACAATAATATAATACACTATAATCTGCCTGTACTGTAAATGTTTTCCCAGATTTCAACATGGGATGCTGTATAAAACTGTAACATGCATTCAAAGTATCATAGTGACTTAAACACAGTACATTGCTGTACACATTACAGAAGTTCTTTACAGTGTATTACTCACCCCT